TTGAATCAACTGGGACTCACAGCAATCTGATAGAACGGCATATTTCTGTTGCTGTTGTTTGGTGCCCTTGAGCTGAGTATAACTCAAAGTGACCCTATTAACAACAGATCTGAACTCTGTCCTACTCAGTGCTTTCCTCACAATCTCTGACACACTCGGGCCCATTGCTGCAGTGGAGGTGTCAATCAATTAGCTTCGTTGAGGGTCGTCCTCTTTTTTTGCCATTCCTCCACCTTTCCAAGCATGATGTCCGTCTGCAAAGAGAAGCCTCCCCTAGCAACATAGCCAAAGTATGAGATGAAAGTTTATCATCTTTGCCTCCAAGTAGTACTCTAGCTGCACCTTATTAAAAATAAATGTTTGTTCTTTGGGCAGTACATGGTATCTTCATTACTCTTCTCCAATACCACGGTTCAAAGGCATCAATTCTTCTTCTGTTATCTTTATTCACTGTTCAACCCTCAAATACATAACAAGTGATTAAAAAGACCATGGCCAGAATCAGGGACACCTTAGTCCTGAAAATTACACCATTGCTCCACAATAATTTGGAGAGTACCCTAGTTACAGATTTTTCCAGTAAAATATGTCTCCTGATTCCTTGATTGCTGGTTACCAAGTGTTTTAATTTTGGATACAAGTAAGATAAAATAATCTTTTTAAATCTATCATGATGTTACCTATTGGTGCAATGACAAGGATTTATGTTTTCTTCATGTTGAGATGCAATCCATATTGAAGGTTGCATTCTTTGATCTTCTGCAATCAAGTACTTTTGACTTTCAGCCAGCAAGGTTGTGTCATCTGCATGACGTAGGCTATTGATAAGTCTTCCTCCAATCCTGATGCCACATTCTTCTTCATAGAGCCCAGACACCAAATAATTTGCAATCAAATGCGCTATCACTGAGCTATCTCCTTCTGTTGTTGTTGTTGTTGTAGCTTCTCCAATAACTTGATCAGCATACAGACTGAATAGACATGGAGAAATTGTACAACTCTGACACTCACTTTCTTAATTTTAAACCATGCAATGTCCCCTTGTTTTGTTTACACAACAGCTTCTTGGTCCAGGTATATATATGGAGTTTATCTCTCAGCATGGCTTGTCCAGTGTAGATGAGTGACTATGTAGAGGGGAGGAATTGTGTGAGTGAGGCATGTTAGCCTATCTGCGAAAGTATTGGCTATCTATCATTCCACAAGGGAATTGGCTGGTCTCACTCAATAATCTACACGAGGCTCATCTTGCCAATAAATTGAACAGCTCCAGCTGCAAAGAATATTAATTCTTACATTACTGGAAGGAATTTTGCTTCCCACACTAGAAGAGATTCTTCTCCTATCCATAGAGGAGAGACATCCTCCTACCCATTCCAAAAAGCAGCTGCAGGGATGGCTGAACTGGAGAACTGGATGTGAGCTAGGACTTGGGCGAGGTTGAAGGGATGTGGAGCCAATATTTTCAGGACTGTGAACGTTGTTGGTCAAATACAGGGGAAGCCAATACTGGCAAGTCTGAGAACTAGGGAACATTTAGAGCCACGAGGCTCAAGGCAAAAGTGCCTGCATGCACAGTTTGGGAGCTGTCTTGATTTCATTTTACTATTAATCTGAATTATAACCTTTAAAGTCTTCCAATATGGTTCTTTGTAGTCTCTGAGCTATCACGTCAGATTTTGAACCACCAAGAAGTAAGATTTTTGTTGCAATGAGTAGAAAGAGGCATGGGGGCGGGGGACAAGTCCGACCTCATGGGGACTGGTTTTGTGTCACTGATGCTGTGCAAGAGGATAGTTTCCTCCTGTGAAGCTGGAAAGGGTCAGATATGGTGCTCCCCTTGTGGCCATTGCACGTTTTACAGTTTAAGTTTCACATAAGCACAATTCAATGTTCTGGGATTCCCATTCCTCTCATTTGCATAGCCAATAAAGCACAAACATACATTCTTCTATCACTCATCTTTTCCAATCAGTGAAATAATGAAGAAGTTGAAGCAGCATTGAAAGCATCAACAAAAAATAAGGCCCCAGGATTGATGGGATACCAACAGATATGTTACAACTAATGATGGAACTCTGTACATCAATGCCAGGAAATTTAGAGGACAGCTATGTGGGTGCCCAACTGGAAGTGACAGAACAATATAGAACTGTCCTATATGGCTAGCAAGACTATAAATATTTATAGAAACAGACTACCTCATTATCATCCAAAGAATCTAGTAGGTTCCAACCTCAGATCTTTCCATTAGCAGCCAAATGCCTTAACCGCAGTGCCACCAGAACTCCTTGAAATTATACAGGAAACTTCAAATGATATACGATAATAATATATCTGAGACACTATCATGAGAGTTCCTTATAAGAATTCTTCAGGAAATATTTTGATAAGCAAGATAAGAAGTCATTTTCAAATAAGCTACTAAATGGTCTCTGAAGTTTCCTCTTAGTAAATGATATAATTCTCTGGATTATTTCAATTCCATGTGTGAGCCTACAACCAAATTTTACACTATCTTCCTGCAATGGATAGTGCTCCTCTTTGTCCTGATTCTTTTCTGGAAAGAATGCACTCAAGAACAGCTTCTGTGTTCCTTACTGAATACTGCCCTGAGCTTCAATAAACTGACTCATCCACTCAGAGAGTAACCTGAGGTTAAGAACAACTAATATTGGCACAGAAAGGCTCCACCCTCCACCCCTTTGTCCTAATTAAGAAGATCTCTAACAAACCACCTCTGCTTGAGAGTAGTAGCCCTGCCCAATATGGCTGACCTTATGTGAACTCTCCTGAGGATCAGTCTTAAACTCTGCACATTTCCATCATCCTCACTGCTTTGCTAGAAGTATATCTCCTCAACACACCTTTCACCTGAAACAAAGATGGTCTATAGGAAACTTAACTTTTATCACTTCTTAATCTTGAAATTCTTTTCCCAGAAATATAGCTAGCTAACTGTTGTTGTTGTTGTTGTTATGTGCCGTCGAGTCACCTGCGACTCATAGCGACCCTATGCACAACAGCCCTAAACTCCGCTCTGTCCTGTGCCAATCGCACTGTCTCTGACATTCCCATCCCAATTATCCCAGTCACTGAATCAATCCACCGCATAGAGGGCCTTCCCCTCCTGCGCCGTCCCTCCACCCTCCCAAGCATGATGTCCCTCTCCAAGGACCGGTCTCTCCTCACTACATGTCCAAAGTAAGTTAGACGGAGCCTCAGAATCCTTGCCTCCAAGGAGCCACCCGGTTTAACCCTCTCCAGGAAAAATCTGTTTGTTTTCCTAGCAGTCCATGGTATTCTCAATACTCTTCTCCAGCACCACAGCTCAAAGGCATCAGTTCTCCTTCTATCCTCCTTGGTCATTGTCCAACTCTCTGATGCATAACAGGTGATTGCGAAGACCATGGCCTGTATCAGACGCACCTTAGTCTCCAGAGAGACACCACTGCTCTTCAGCACTTTGGAGAGGTCCCTAACAGCAGACTTTCCCATGGCAATGCGCCTTTTAATTTCCTGGCTGCTGGTGCCAAGACTGTTGACTATGGAGCCAAGCAAACTAAAGCTGTGTACAATCTCAATCTCTTCACGATCCATCCTGATGCTGCCAATTGGTCCAGTGGTGAGAATCTTTGTCTTCTTGACATTGAGCCTCAATCCATATTGTAGGCTGCAGTCCTTGACACTCTGCAGCAGGCGCTTCAGGTCCTCCTCAGTTTCAGCAAGCAGGGTTGTGTCATCCGCATAACGCAGATTGTTGATAAATCGTCCACCAATCCTGACCCCACATTTCTCCTCATAGAGCCCAGCCTCCTGGATAATCTGTTCTGCATATAGGTTGAAAAGGTCTGGAGATAGGATGCATCCCTGACGTACGCCCTTCCCAATTTTGAACCATGCAGTGTTCCCTTGCTCTGTTCTGACGACTGCCTCCTGGTCCAAGTATAAGTTTCGCATTAGAACGATCAAGTGTTCTGGGATTCCCATTCTTCTCAGAGTCAGCCACAGTTTGTTATGATCTACACAGTCAAATGCCTTTGCATAGTCAATGAATCACAGAGAGACATTCCTCTGGTATTCCCTGCTTTCAGCCAAGAGCTAACTAGACAGACTTTATCACTATTTTCAGTTCCCATTTGACAGAAATCTTCATTACTATGTTTCCATCCTCAGTTTAATTGGGCTTTTCTTTTCTGACTGTAAGTCCTCTGTCAGTGCTCTCTCCAAATTACTGAAGAACAATAATGCCAATTTGAAGACTAAAGCACACCTGATTCAAGCTATGATCTTTTCAATCACTTGCTATGCACCTGAGAGCTGGATGATATATAAGGATGGCAGAAGAATAACTGATATCTCTGAATTGTCATGTTGGAGAAGAGTACTGAATATCATATGGGCTGCCAAAAGAACAAACAGGTATGTCTTGGAAAAAATGCAGCCAGAATGCTCCTTGGAAGCAGGGAAAGTGAAGCTTTGTCACACATACTTTATGCATGCTGCTAAAAGGGGCTATTTTATGGAAAATGACATCATGGTTGGAAAAGTGAAGGGTCAACAAAATAGGAGAAGACCCTCAATGAGATGGTTGATACAGTGACTATAACAATGGGCTCAGGTGTGTTATAAGAAATTATAAGAATGACACAGGATAGAACAGGATTCTGATTTGTTGTTCATAGGGTCACTATGAGTTGTACTCAACACCATCTAAAAATAACAAAAACCATACACAAAATTTGGCCATGCAATGTATTGAATCTCAAAAAGTTTAAATAATATTACAGACATTTTGGATTTTATAGAGAGCATACTAGTAACTACAACAACAAACTAACCTTAAATCACATCACTCTCTATGCGATTAGTTATAGTAGGAATCCAGTGCTGACATGGTCAAACTCAAACACTTCATTCTTAAGTCAGGGTTTGGTCCCATGCATCAATAGTAAGCACAATTTAAAAGTGATTCTCCTATACTTGTATGAATTACATACCACTCCTGATGTAGGGAATATATCACTAATACTTCCATCAGCTTCCCATGCTACAGTTACACGACCATATGTTCCTTTTAAGCGTTCAACATTCAAGGTTATGAGGCTGTCTTGCTCCATTTCTTCCACTTGTTTATATAATGAATTCTAAAACATAAACAGAAAACCACAGGGTTATTTTAAATTATCTAAGAATTTTTTCCTTTTAAATACTTAAGCATTAAAATTCTAGAAAATGCTAAGGAATATATTGTTAAGTGAAAAGTAATAGTTAAAATACATTAATACATAATGGTCATTCCTTTGTCTTAAAATGTGTGTGTTTAAGCGTGTAAAAGATGAAGAGAAAAGAAATGAATATTTATGGGAGTATTTTTATCTTTATGCTGTGGTTGTTAGTTGCCCTCGAGTAGAGCTTGACTCACAGCGGCCCTATAAACAAAAGACCTGAAACCTTTCTATAACTATCGTCATTTCTCAAAGTTCATAGTTTCCACGAGCGTATTGTTTAAGAAGTGGATGCCACTCCTACTTCCGATTTGTCTTTCTACTTTCTAAATTTTTCACATACTATTCACCGAACATATATTACTTTTTTAAAAAATTTTATCTTATTATTTTGTGAATGTGTACCGTCAAATCAGATCTGACTGGTACAGGAGGAGACTGTTCCTCCTTCTCCAGCAGAGCATCTGGTGGATTCGAACCATGCACCTCTGGGATTGCAAACATGTATTACTTTTTACCCAAACAATATATTTTTTATAAAGAATATACTTTTTAAAAACATGTGAAATGTTTACATACTGAAAGTACTTGGCTTTCCCCCTGTAAAACCTCTGATAATTCTGGTATCTTTGTTTCTTATTTGGAAAAAAAGGATTTGCACTATGGGGTCAATGTCTCATCCAAATGTAACAACCTCTTGAGACTGGGGGATTTTTGAACACATGCAAATATCTTTTATCCTTAAAATCAGATCATCAAAACTGTTTCTACTGCTGTAATCCTTTCACAAGCTTTAGGCCAGGACTGCCAGCAAGGTCAGTTAAGAGAAACTGAGAAACCACGTGATTATAATTGTTTAGTTACAAGATAAAAAAAGCTACCCAAGTTAAACCTTTTAACTTTACTAAGTATGGAAATACAAGGGGGGCGGGGGGAAGTCCAGTTATATTTAGGATTACTAAGCAATCCAGAGATATGCAAATCAAAATTATAATAATGTTGCTACTGTTATTAATATCTATTTCTACTACTAATTTTGCTTTAATATTCATGAAGAAATTATCAAAAAAGTAACATTAAGGCTCCAAGTCAATCTGCAGCAACTCTTTTGAAAGCACAAACACTACACTGTCTTTAACAACACAAACATAAAAGTATCATAGAAGGACTGCTGAAGAGCCAGCTCCCAACTGGCTATACAAGGCATTCAGGAAGCTGCCACTTTAGGGAACCCCCAAATGGTCAAAGGTGAGTGTTCTACAATGGAAAGCTGGGGCACTATGATAAGTGCCCAGGCAGGATGAGCCAAATGTACCAGTGAAGGCCTCCAATAAAGCCATAACCCTGACATAATCGAGCTTACGTATTGGGCAAATGAATGCCTTGTGTTCTGAAGGAGGCACAGTGGAAATCACCAAGCCCTTCTGGCAGGAAAAGCAAAAGAAAAGGATTAAGCCCTGTAGCAGCCTCATATGGGATGTCTCTAGACATGCTCAATAAAGATGCTTAATTTTAACTAATAGGAGCCTTTAACTTAAGGTCTTTGACAGCCCCTTGTCCCAAATCTCATGTTTTATAGTCAAAACAGACAGCTCACCCACCAAAAGACAGAAACCCAATGCTTGTTTTTTTTGCCAGAAAAGAATGTTAACCGACTAAACTTGTGAAGATTGACTCTTACAAATATGAGAAAATACAGCCTACTTTCAATATTGGCTTGATGAGTAAAGACACTCTTACCATAAACATTATCCTACTTCTTTTCATATTCTTTATACTAGTCTTTAATAGTAAACTCTATACAATAACTCATGTTCTTGTAATTTGGAGGAACATTCTTCTAAATCATACACCCTCCTCATCTAAGTATAGGTGTCAAATGAGTACGATCAAGTGTTCTGGGATTCCCATTCTTCTCAAATTTAACCACAATTTGTTATAATTCACATAGTCAAATGCCTTTGCATAGTAAATGAAACAGTCAATGAAACACAGATAGATACTCCTCTTGCTTTCAGCCAAGATACATCTTAAATTAGAGATAATGTCTCTAGCGCCACGACCTCTTCTAAACTCAGTTTGTATTTCTAGTAGTTCTCCATCAATGTCCTGTTCCAGTAGTTTTTAGATAATCTTAAACAAGATTTTGCTTGTGTGTGTTATTAGTGATATTGTTTGATAACTTCCACACTCTTGTCAAGTCACCTTTTTTTGGAATGGGAAGAAATATGGATCTCTTCTAGTCAGTTAGCCAGGTAGACATCCTCTAGATTTCTTGACACAACCTGGTAAGCATATCCAGGGCAGTATTCATTTGCTGAAATATGTTTATTAGTATCCCATCAATTCCAAGGGCCTTGGGGTTTTTTTTTGCCAATTCCTTCACAGCAGCTTGAACTTCTTCCTTCATCAACACTGCCTCTTGATCATCATATGTTATTTCATGAAATTTTTTTGTGTCAGCTGTTTATTTTTGGTACAGTGACTCTGTGTACTCCTTCTATCTTCTTTTAATCGAAACTAGAAGCTTAAATTTATTCTTCATATAGCCAGTCATATTATGCCTATTTTGCTTGTTTAAACCAATAAAGATTGTGTGTTCCAGGCTCCAAGTGTTCTCCATTAGGCAGATTACTCTCCAAGGATAATACCTTATTCAACTCTGTGTCCTGACCTTCTGCCTGTTAACCCACTTGGCATAGTAAGTAGCCAGAGATTTTAGGGACTTATAGAAATAATGGCATAACACCCGATTAATGAAAGCAGGACTGATATGGGGGGCTGGAAGGAGAATAGGAAAATACTTGATAGATAGTGAGCACTGTGTACTAGAATAGATGAGGGAGAAAACGGTTTAAAATGAATATATGATTAGGCATTATATGTAAAACAATGGTTCAGAATAAGAGGTTATTGCAAAGATTCCTGGGGGAGGGCGAGGGGAAAGGGGGAAACTACGAAAATGTGTAACAATGAATTAATGAAAATCTAAGGTTTTTTTTCACACTTTCTTTAAAATCACAATTAAAATAAAAAACAAAAAAGAAAGAAGGACATAGAGAAATTTGGCGACCCTGTAGGCAGGACAACACACAGCTCCAACATGAAGTAGACAGAGCTAGAACCCAAAAAAGATTTTAGAGGTTTGTTCTTTCCGGGGGGGGGGGGAATGTTAGAATTGGAACCAAGAAGATAAGAGACAGAAGTTTATGCTTGGAAAATTGAGCTACATAACCAGAAAGTCAATACTGACATGCTTAGAATTAGTGATTTGGGTACATGAGTGATGTCAGAAGTAATGAACACTTTGGACATATAAATGACAACACAGAACAGGTAACAAAATGAAAACCACTCTCTATATCATCATCTCATTGGCCCAGACTCCAGCCCCGAGGTACATCCAGAGAAGGGGCCATCAAGAGAGCCTCACCTTGCTAGCACTCTGCCTCTCCTCCATATTTCCTTTTAAGGGAGGAGGTCCGTCCCTTTGGGATATACCTTTCTAATAAATCTCTTCACTTTTTTTCACCTTAAAAATATTTCTACTAACTTTCCTGCTTAGATAGCATTTTATCCTTAACTCACAGCCTTGAAGACTAATTTTCTTGCCAAAAATAATCATTTCTGTCATGTCAGAATTTCTTCTTGTTCTCACGTGTGCTTCCTGTCCTTTTCTCATGTTCCAATGATTTTGACTTTGTGTGACTCTAACATTCCCCACTAGTTACTTACTCAATGTCATCTTATGTACTTCCTAAAAAAAATTAGTACTTCAAAGGATCACTTCTAAGACAGCTGATTTCTCCATATGCAATAAAGCAGGCATAAACGAAGTACAAAGATCATTTCTTTTTATCTTCTCAATAAGAATTTTATTCTCTTTTAAGGTTAGCAATTTTAAGATTTACATAGTCTAATGTCTTTACATTAGATTGTTCACAGCTGCAGTTTGCTTGGCTCCACGGGCAACACTTTGAACCAGTAGCCAGGAAATAAAAAAAATATTGTGATGGGAAAGTCTGCGGTTAGGGAACTCTCTAAAGTACTCAAGAGCAACGGTGTCTCTCTGGAGATTAAGGTGTGCCTGATATAGGCCATGGTCTTTGCAATCACTTGTTATGCATCAGAGAGTTGGACAATGACTAGGGAGGATCGGAGAATTTATGCCTTTGAGCTGTGGTGCTGGAGAAGAGTATTGAATGTACCATGGACTGCCAAGAAAACAAACAGATTCAACAAACAGAGAGGGTTAAACCAGGCTACTCCTTGGAGGCAAGGATTCTGGGGTTTCATCTGACGTACTTTGGACATGTTGTAAGGAGAGACAGGTCTTTAAAGAGGGACATCATGCTGGATAGAGTAGAGGGACAGCGTGGGAGGGGAAGACCCTCTATGAGGTGGATTGATTCAGTGACTGGGGTAATCGGGATGGGTGTGTCAGAGGCAATGCGATTGGCACAGCATAGAGCAGGATGTAGGGCTATTGTACATAGGGTCGCTATGAGTCGCAAACAACTCGACGGCACATAACAACAACAACAACGTCTTTACATTCAATAAAATACAAGTAAACACCTTTCCAGCATTCTCTGCTTTCAGCCAAGAGTCATCTGATATCTGCAATAATTTCTCTCATTCCACAGGTTTGGTTTGTTTTGTTTTGTTGGTTTTTTGTTTTTGTTTTTTTGTCTGAATCCAGCTTGCATTTCTGGCAGGTCTTGTCAGTTTACTATTTTCCTTGATTTTGAATCATATTCAGTAATATATTTATGTGTGGTATACATGATATTGTTTGATAATTTCTGCATTCAACAGAAATGGGAACAGCAGTCAGAAAAACAAAAGGCATGATGCATAGAAGAAATCTGTTCTCAAGGACCTCTTTAAAGTACAAAAGAGCAAAGACATCTGTTTAAAGACTAAGGTGCCCCTGAACCAGGGTATGGTGTTCTTAACTGCTTCAAATGCATGGAAAGTTGATGTAGTGTTGGTGAAGACTGTTAAATATATAATGCACTACCAAAAGAAAAAAATGATAAATCTTGGAAGAAGTGTAACCAGAGTGCAACCAAAGATGGTTAAACAGTGTCTCACATACTTTGGTCATGTTATCAGGAGATGCATTTTTTTGTCAAGGACATCAGTCTGGACAAAGCAGGTCAAAGAAAGAGTGGAAGACCCTCAATAAGATGAACTAAAACTTTAGCATGGTAGAGATGGAAGGATGGAGCAGGTAATGATAAGGTTTAGATCTGTTGTTTATTGAGTCACTGTGAGTCATAACAGACTCAACAGCACCTTACAATAACAATCTGAAGAGCGATTCTTCTATAAATTTCTTAGAGTTTATGAAAAGCTTCTATATGAAATGCTAATTTAGACTTTATATTGATGTTTTACACATTTTAACACATTATTATAGATGTTACACAGTAATAAAATCTTGCTCAAAGCAATCATACATTGCTGCAGAAAATGGTTTGATTTTAAAATATGCATCAAATTTAGTAATAAATGACAATACTCTGTGAAAGAAAAATCTCTTATCTGGCTCCACACTCTTTATTAACAGGAGTTAATAAAACAAAGCTTTAAGGTGGTCTGGAAATATGCTTTGTAAGGTGTCCAGGAAATAAACTTTTCATTATCTACTAAATCTCATCTTGAAACTACTTATCCAAGCACAGGAGTCACATAAAGAAATTTCTACTCAACATATTGAAGAAAACTAGAATAATATCTCCCATCAAAAATTAAACCTTGGTGAGTTTTTTTTTCTAAGACAATTTTGGAAAACGTTTCATCTTTATAAACAAAAGTCAACCATACACAAATAGGAGAGGCACAGAGCTGACAAAGCTTCAAGGCTAGACAGTGGAACTGAGTAGCATAGGAAGTTTGTTCACATCAAAAGAAGCCCAGCTCAAATCTATACACATGCATGAGATCCTGTGAAAGTTGTGTGACAGTTCTTTTATTTATGATAGATTTATACTAAGTGTAAAGTATGTAAGTAAATTGTGTTCTAGCTTTTACAAATTCTAGCAAAAATAAATGAAATGGGTAATATACAAACTGGCTAATTTTCAGTACCATGACAAAATAATACAGTCGTATATAAAATACAGAGAGATGACGGGGAGTTTCAATTTTAAATCAAGGCACAGTGACTTGACCCACAGCAAGTTTTCAGAGACTGTAAATAGGTCTGGGAAGAGACTCTCTTTCTCCCACTGAACAGCTGGTAGATTAGAACCACCTACTTTTAGTAGTCAATCTATGAACAAGAGACCTGCAATTTGTCTTATACTGTGCCATCTTCATCATCTTTGACAGACGTAAGTCCATTACTACACCGTGTCAATCCATCTCCCTGAGGGTCTTCCTCTCTTTTGATGACCTCCATATTTCCCAGAACGATGTCTTTTTTCAAGGAATGGTCTCTCCTAACAACATTCCCCAAGTATATGAGATGATGTTTTACCATCCTTGCTTCTAAGGAGTACCCTAGTTGCACCTTCTTCAAGACAGTCTTGTTTATTTTTTTTGGAAGTCTGTAGGATAGTCAGTACTCTTCTCTAACATCACAACTCAAAGGCATTGATTATTTTTCAGTCATACACAGATGTATAGGAAGTTAATGAAAAGAACATAACTTGAATTAGGTGCACCTTAGTCTTTAAACTGACATCATTGTTCCTTAACACTTTGTCAAGGTTCTTGATGGTAAAGTGTATCAATACAATAAGATAGCTTAACCTTGAGGCTCACAAGAATGCAAATTAGGAGATAGCAGGAAAAAAGGAACCAAGTAGCTTAAGATACTCAAAACTTGACTCTGTGATTCCTGAGAGTAACTACTATGTAAATAAAATGAATGATTTTTATTTCTTTATAAAGAACCTTTAGTATTATTACCTGAGCAAATCCAACAATTCCATAGGCATCATCATTAGACAAAATAGTTATTTTTACATAACCATGAGTACCAATCTCTGCTCCTCCTTTAGGATTTTTCAGTTGAACTCTGAAGGATTCTTCTTCCTCAGGAACTACATCATCAAGGATATTGACCAATATTATAGCCTCTCTGTCTCCAGGTTCAAATATCAGTTCACCTGAACTAACATAAGAAGCATATATAGAAGTCAACTACAACAAATTTTAAAATAAACAAAGCAGATAACCCATAGACTCTCATTATATTGGCTAATATTTTAAATATCAAATAGAAATTTTAATTTTAAACTCTAATTTAAAATTTTTAAAACTATACTGCTGATCAATTTGTTAAAAGAGATATTAGAAATATGGCCCAAATTTCTTCTACATCTCTTACACATCCTTCAATCATTAAAGATTTAGAAATTAGGTAGCATAAAGGACAAACAATTATAATATGATGTACAACCTACCTGGGAATAAAGTCAGATTGCCTGGAGATGTACACCAGCTCGTATATGTGAGAGTTCCCAGTACCTCCTAGTGCAATTAAGTTCTTGCTTGAATTAAGGGATGTCACCATAACAGAAGTTGCATCATGAGCAAAAGGCACTTCCAGAACAAAAGAGAACAGATTCAGCTCAGAATTCCAGCAGTAAAGAGCAGATGAATCTTGGCCAATAAGAAGTATGTGGACTGGAAGAAGGAAAGAAAGGCAAATAGGTTGAAATGTAAGAAATGATAACCTTTTACATTCATCACATAGTACCCAGCAAGACAAATACAACTCCGAGTTATTTTAATTTTAAAAACAACTTATCAGTGTGTGAATAATAGCGTGAAACACAATGCATACAAACTTTGTAAGCAAACCGATAAAATAAAAGAGCACAGAAAACCCCAAATAATGCAACATAATTCAATTTCTAAATCATTGAAAGTAAATTATAATTTGTAACTGTCATGCAATGGAGTAATCAAATCAGCTTGCCAATGTACACAAAATCTACTTTAAAAAAGATTCTACCTAATAAAACTCTAAATGGATTTTGAACTCTATTATAATAGAGCTGTCTTTATTTGTCTTAATATTAAATTATTAGCTACCAGGATAGGACATACTTAAGTGGAAAAAAAGGTACATAATTCTATCCCTAATGTTTAATTTTTATTTTCCCTGACAGCCATCAACCATATGAATTTATGAGGAACACAATTATAAACAATAAGGAAATGTTTTTCTTTCTTTGAGCTACATCATTTCAAGTTTTGGATTTTTCTACATGGTATTTATCATTTTAACTTCTAGGACATAATCTACAGGATTGATTTACAAAATATATTTCATCATTTCCCTGCATTAGATGTTTATAATTGTTTTTATTTTATATAATTTTCAATATGAAGGCTAACAATGAAAATAGATTTATTATATAAAGTTATTCATTTTAATTCTTTTCAATGGATGAACTAGTTAGGTCAAAGAATATAAAAAATGTTATGAATCAAGATTAATTCTCAGTGTCTTTTGAAATGTCACGAAGAAACATGCTCTGAGGACTTTTGTTGTTATGTGTCATTGAGTCACCTGTGGCAAGTACCCCATGTTCAACAGCCCTGAGTCCTGGCCTGTACTGAGCCAGTCTCACTGACTCCCACAGACCTAACCCAATTGCCCCAGTTAGTGTTAGCAATCGTTCTCATCCAGGGTCTTCCTCTCCTGCACTATTCCTCCACCCTTCCAAGCATTATGTCTTTCTTCAAGGACCAGTCCCACCTGGCCACATTCCCAAAGTATGTAAGATGGAGTTTCAAAATCCCAGCCTTCAATGAAAAATTTGGTTTCACCCTTTCCAAGACAGATTTGTTTTCTTTGTGGTCCATGGTACATTCAAATCTCTTCTCCAGAACTACAACTCAAAGGCATAGGTTCTTCTGTCATTCTTAATATTGTATGCAGAAAAGAATTAGCCCAGAAAAAACACATTTGCAAAGTTCAAAACCATAAAACTGGGCCAGGCAATTAAAAAAGAAAACATCTCTACTGTGGCAAAGGGTATTTTATCTCTTATAGCTGTGTACTGTAGAGTCAGAACCGACCCATAGCTGACCCTCCAGTGGGTTTTCAGAGGCAGTTAATGCACAGAAGCAGATTGTCCATCCTTCTCCCATGGAATAGCTGGTGGCCTCGAACTGCGTGCTTTCGGAATTGCAGCACAGCTTTTTGCCACTAGGCCACCAGGGAACCTCTAGTACTTATTAAAGCCTATTTTGTACTTATTAACTAAATTATAGAACTCTCTCCTATTGAGCAAATCCATTTTAAAAAATAAGGCAATGCAACTGGATGAGAATATTTAAGGAATGAATGTAGATTTAGAGAAATACAAGAACGTGGTACTAATGTAAGCAAACCCAAGCAGGGTTAAAAGATGTAACCAGCACAATATAGAGCAGTGGGCAATGGAGAGAGCAGTGCCCTCAAGAGGTAAGAGCAAGGAGGTGTCGGGTAGATTCAGAGAAAAATAACCGAGACCCAGTCTTTCCACAGAGCACTGGGCATCAGGTACACAGATATATTTCAGGGATTAGAATCTCTTTATTACTGGAGGTCTTAAACTTCTTATACGGATTAAAGAGGGATGAAAAGAGTGATTAATTCAGATTTTTTTATAACCCATTTAGATGAAGCTAAGAATTTTGGATAGAAGAGGAAAGCAGGAGTGATGGTGTTTTCAACAGTACACAGAGTTTGAAAGATTAAATAAAGATTAAATGAGCTTTGAGGATTATAATTGTTAGAACAAGGCTTTGAATATAGTAAAAATTCAGGAAGTGTTAGCTGTTGTTGTAGTTGTTGCTGTTGTTGTTGTTGTGTACTATCGGGTCAGAAGCGACTCATAGCTGACCCTACAGAAGGTTTTCAGAGGCATCATGGCAGGTGACTCCCAGCTATCCCGGATCAGAGCAGTGGGTGAATTTGAACCACTTGGCTTTCAGAGGCAGCCAATAGCATGAAAGGAGACTACCCGGTGTTTTCCCACGAAGGAGTTAGTGGATTCTAACTGTGTACTTTAGGCTGACAGCACACTTTTTACGATTAAGCCACTCAAAAACTCAGCTTTCAAGTTGTAAGCAGAATATAGCTGACCCTCCGAAAGGTTTTCAGAGGCAGTAAATCACACCATTAGAAGAGATCTCCCAACTATTCCCTGCAGAGCAGTGAATAAATTTGAACCACCTGGCTTTGGGCTTGCATCACAACTCCTTACCCATTAGGCTACCAAAGAAACCCTTTGTGTTAGCTACTGACACCCAAATTTTCTGGCTCATTTGTCCACACATACTCCTTAACCTGCCCTTTAGAAAATGAGACATATCAAAGTATGTTTCAGGGGCCCCTTCTCTCACAGTACATAATTTTTTACAGATAACTTCATATTATCATGAAATAAAATATTCCTCTGTAACTGAATCAAACTCTCCATTGTACGTAAGATGCTACTCATATCTCATGGCATTTAATTCTCACAACTTTATGGAGTGTTAATCTCATTATATGGACTTACTTTATTCCCAAAAAGAAAAATGTACAACAAATGAAAAAATCATAAAGACAGACCAGACTTACTGGTCTGATAGAGACTAGTGAACTTTTAAAACTGTGGTCCTTCCGTGTCCTTCAAAACAGAAAGCAAAAAAGAAAAACAATGAGGATCACCTGGACACAGAAAACAGGCCTAAAAAGTGAACAATATCACCTGTGAGGAGTGTAATTCCGAGAATAACCAACAGTCTGATACCATGACATCACTGGCCTCCAAAAATAAGTTTAAAAGGCAGGACGGGGCAGAAAAAAGGAACAAAGGGAAATCTGGGAGAAAATAGGAACAGGATTGAAACATATGTCACAAACAAAATGTGCACAAATTGTTGAATGCAAAGCTGTTTTTTTTCTGTAAACAATCACCCAAACCACAATTTCTGAGAGGACTTTGTTCTATTTCATCACAGCAGGTGCCTATTTAACTAAAAAGTTACTTGTGTGAGAATATAATCATTTGATGTGTCTCTTTGATGTTAAATTTATTCAGGACAAGAATTATACCTGACTTTGCTTACCCTCCTATCTACCACCATACTTAGCAACTAATTGACACTTAAAATAGCTATGAAATAATAAAGCAAAGAAGGACGAAGCAAAAGACAAGTGTACATGTCCTTGAGTCTTCTTCATATTCATTCTTCCTTTCTCATTTAAACAAATCAGTCACTACCCAATAATCTGTCAAGTGATTACCAGAATAAATCTGTGATCTTCATAACCATCACTCTAATCTAATACTTTTAATAAAATACTTGACACATTCAAAATAACAAAGTCCTTGAATATTATTTAATGCATAATTTAAGCTTTCAGAGGATCTATAATAAGCCATTCTAAATAATTATTATAATCTTTTTATACTTCTACAACCTCAAGTCATAGAAACAAAAGAAATAAAGAGACCTCACAATGGATCCTTTAACAAGCCTTTGGCAGAATTTTTTAAATTCTTTTAGAAAAAGTGCCTATTATATGTTGAAAAAGAAATCATTAGAGAAAATTCTATAACTTCAATTAATAGCCCATTCAACCAGCACTCTTCAGCCTTAAAAACATTCATTAGACAACTGTTTTGAATAATAGTTAGTGACTCCAGGCTAGTCCACTAAAAACTAAAAATATAAGAGAAAAAATATGATAAAGGCACAATATATGGGGGGACAATATGAAGGGGCACAATATATACATAGAAAGATACATAACTTATTCATTAAATCACTGTTAAATGAATGATAAATCCCCAAGTTGTAAATCATAAGACAACATTACAAATGCGTAAGTTATCAGTGTGTTGACAATGTAAAGAGAAACTGAGTAAGAAGATAAGTTTAAGACAGGTTTAGGACCCGAGGCAACAAATGAGTGGAGGCCAGGAAGTTTAATAGTACAGATGGGAAATTACCAGGGTCTGGGGTAATGAGGTAGAGAAATAAGATTGGGATGAAAGGAGTAGAAACATGGAAATATAATACAAATTTTTTTAAATTTTTATTTTATTTTGGTTTGCTTACAAAGTTTGTGTACATTGTGTTTCACACCATTCTTCATTCATATATCTGGTGAGGACTTGAAAGGATGGGGTAATGGTGGGCATGATCTAGTGGTGATTAGTTTTATATAACATAATGAATGGAATGGAAATAATTGTCTGACTGTAACAATACAATTTTTAAAACAACTGAAAATAGCAGAAAAATAACATTTGATTTGCGATCAGCAGTGCTTAAGGTGGCTTAGAGGCCTCTGGAAGCTCATCCCACAAACCCTCCCCAGGACTCTGTGAGGTCAAGACTATTGTCATAATAACTATAATTTCGCATACCTTTTGCATAACAAGACATTACACACCCTTTTTCATTTTCGTTTTTTTTTAAAGTGTTCATGGAATTTTCCAAAGTTTGAGTTGTTATTTCATTAAATTCTTCTGTATCTGCCAATTCCTTTCGATACAATGACTCGGTATATTCCTTACATCTTCTTTAATACTTCCTGGATCATTTCATATTCTGCCTAAAGAATCCTTGATTATAGCAAATCGAGGTTTGAATTTGTTCTTCAGTTCCTTGAGATTAAGAAATGCTGAACGAGTCAGCCCTTTTGATTTTCCGACTCTAGCTCCTCGCACATTTCATTGTAATATTTCGCTTTGTCATTCCGTGCTGCCTTTTGGAATCTTCTGTTCAACTCTTTAGTATCTTGAATTCTTCCTTGTGCTTTGGCTTCTCTACACTCCAGCGCAATCTTCAGAGTTTCTTCTGACATCTATTTTGGTCTTTTCTTCCTCTTCTGTCTTTGTAATGACCGTTTGCACTCTTCCTCGATGACACATTTGACATCCTCCTACAACTCATCTGGTCTTCGCTTCAAACCTGTTCCTGAAAAGATTCTGAAATTCAGGTGGGATGAACTCAAAGTTATATTTTGGCTCCTGTGGATTTGGTTTAATTTTCCTCAGCTTCAGCTTGAACTTGCATATGAGTAGTTGGTGTTCTTTTCCACAATCAGCTCTTGGCCTAGTTTTCACAGCTGATATTGAGCTTCTCCAGCAGTTTTTTCCACAGATGTAATCAATCCGATTCCTATGCATACCATCAGGTGAAATCCACATGTATAACCTGCGTTTATGTTTCTTATAAAACGTATTTGCAATGAATAAGTCATTGATTGTGCAAAATTCAATCATTCTATCTGCAGCTTCATTTCTGTCACCAAGCCTATGTTTTCCAACTACTGAATCTTCTCTGTTCCCAATTTTTGCAATTCAGTCACCCATTATTATCAATGCATCTTGATTGCATGTTTGATCTATCTCCGACTGTAAAAGTTGGTATAAGTAATCTATTTTTTCTTCTTTGGCTCTGGTTGTTGGTGCATATATCTGAATGATAGTGGCATTCACTGGACTTCCTTGTAAGCATATGGGTATAATAATATCACTCACAATGTTGTACTTCAAGACGGATCTAGAAATTATTTTTTTAACTATGAAAGCAAGCCCATTTTTCCTCACCTTTTCATCTCCGGAGTAATATATCATATGATCAGCTAACTCAAAATGCCCCATGCCAGTCCATCGCATCTCTCTAATGCCTA